AAGGAAATAGACATACAGGCCCAGGAAGTGCAGAGTCCCAAACAAGATGAACCCATACAGGCCCACACCAAGACACAGCACAATTAAAATGCCCAAGGTTAAAGACAACGAGAGAATGTTAAAAGCAGCAAGAGAAAAGAAGTAAGTTACCTACAAGGGAACTTCCATAAAACTATCAGCTGATTTCTGAACAGGAATTGTGCAGGTCAGAAAGGATTGGCATGAAACATTCAAAGTGATGAAAAGCCAGGACCTCCAACCAAAATTACTCTACCCAGCAAAGCTATCATTTAGAATCAAAGGATAGATAAAGAGCTTCCCAGTCAAGGAAAAGCTAAAGGAGTTCACTTACACCAAACCAGTATTACAAGGAATCGCAGAAAAATTTAAGAGGAAAAAAGATTTTTAAAAATGAGTAATAAAATAGCAATAACTACATATCTAACAATTACTTTCAATGTAAATGGATTAAATTCTCCAGTCAAAAGATAGGGTGGCTGAATGGATAAGAAAACAAGACCCTTGGGCTGGCCGAGTGGCTCAGTTGGTTAAGAGTTGGCTTAAGAGCACGAGCTCTGAGCAACAGGGCAGCCAGTTCAATTCCCACATGGGCCAGTGACGCTGCGCCCGAGCTGAGCTGTCACTGAGCTGCCAACAGGTGGCAGGATGGCTCAGTAGGTGTAACAACAGGATTGCCTGTTCGATGGTGGCTATGCCCACCTGCAACTAAGACTGAACTCGGCACCTTGAGCTGAGCTGCTGCCCGGATGGCTCAGTGGGTAGAACATGCGCTCTTAACATGGCTGCTGGTTTGACTCCCACATGGGATGGTGGCTATGCCCACTCGCAACTAAGACTGAACACAGCACCTTGAGCTTAAGAGGTTGCGAGCAGCCGACGGGAAGCCAGATGGCAACTGGCGCCCTCCACAACGAAGATTGAAGAACAACTTGGCTGGTCCCCTCCCTCATTCCCCAACACTGTTCCCGTCCCCCAATTCCCCAATAAAATCTTAAAAAAAAAACAAAAAAACAAGACCCTTATATATGCTGTGTACAAGAGGCTCACTTCAGGTAAAAAAACACACACCGACTGAAAGTAAAAGGACGGGAAAAAGATATTTCATGAAAATGTAAACAAACAAACAAAAGCTGGAGTAGCAATACTTATACCAGACAAAATAGACCAAAACAAAAGCTATATAACAAGAGACAACAAAGGACCCAGTAATCCCACTTCTGGGTATTTATCTGAAGAAACCTAAAATGCTACTTCGAGGAGACATGTGCATCCATATGTTCACTGCAGCACTGTTTACAATAGCCAAGATGTGGAGGCAGCCTGAGTGTCAGTTGATGAAAGAATGGATAAAGAGTAGGTGGTACATATATACAGTGGAATACTGCTCGGCCATGGGAAGGAATGTGTTCTTGCCATCTGCAGCAGCATGGATAGACCTGGATGTATTGTGCTAAGTGAAGTACATCAGACAAGAAAAGACAGATGCAATGTGATTTTGCTTGTATGTGGAATCTAAAAAACAAAATAAACAAACAAAACAGAAACAAACTCAGATACAGAGAACATTTTGATGGTTGCCAGATGGGAGGGGGTTGGGGGATTAGGGGAAGGGATTAAGAAGTACAAATTGGTTATTGCAAAGTAGTCATGGGGATGTAGGGTATAGCATAAGGAATAGAGCCAATAATATTGTTGTAATAACTATGTATGGTGTCAGATGGGTACTAGATCTATCAGAGTGATGGATGGGAGGGGGGTTGGGAGGCAGGGTGGAAAAGGTGAAGGGGTTAAGAGATACAAAATAGTCATGGGGATGTAACGTAAAACATAGGGAATATAGTCGATAACATAACAACTATGTAAAGTGCCAGGTGGGTACTAGTTAGGGGGATCATTTCTTAAATTATGTAAATGTCTAACCACTATGCTTCTATGCTTTACACCTGAAATATAATGTTAAATGTCAACTGTAATTGAAACATTAAAAAAAGGGGGGGGGCGGTGAAGGGGTATAAGAGGTCCAAATTTCCAGGTAGAAAACAAATAAGTCATGGGGGTGTAATGTGCAGCATAGGGAATATGGTGAATAATATTGTGCTAGCATGGTATGGTGTCTGATGGTTGCTGAACTTATCACGGTGATCACTTCTTTAGGTATATAAACGTTGAATAACTATGGTGTACACCTGCAACTAATATATGTTAGCTATATTTTAATAAAAATCTTTAAAAAAATCTGCCTCACCCTGACACTAAATTGAGATTCCCTTTAGGACTCTGTCATAGGCTATCTTCAAGCATGCATTTTTGGGGAGACATCAACTAGTCCTAGATGTTCTATGGTGTCTAGGAAAAGGCATCAGTAGGCACCCTGACTGAATGAATTTACAGACAACTGAAAACAGTTCTGACAGGTGGTGAGACCAAGTGCAGGAGGGAAAAAGGTTATGGCTGCAGAGCAGAAGGAAGTTACCTTGACTTCCCTAAAACTTAAGCTTTTAAGAAGGCATTTGTTGCAGCAGGAACACCACTAACTTCTCTAAATAAAAGAAGCCAGTTACAAGACAAGAGACCAGGCACTATGGCAACAGAAACAGAAACAAACTTGGAAGAAATTACCTGCCCACGTTGTGAGATGAGCACTGTCTTACATTGCTAGTGGGAGTGTAAAAGAGAAGTCCTCTGGGCAGCAATATGGCAATATTTCTTTAAAATCTTAGATTTTTTTTTCCATCTTAAATAAAGAATCTTTTAAAAGTTCATACCCACTAGGCCCATTTTCCAAAAGGTAACCTAGGAAAATATACAAAGATTTATATATAATGATGTTCAATGCATTGGTTATATATTCCGAAACAATGGAAATTAACCCACGTATTCAATAGAGAAAAAAATAAATTATTCCATCTGCTTGATGGAGTAGTCAATTTAAAAAAAAATGTTTTCAATGGATATATAATGACATACTAAGATCTTAATATTGTAAAAATATAGGCAGCAGAAAAAAGACTGAAAAAGAAACATTCACATGTAAATAGTGGTAACATCTGACAAAAGAATTTTGAATGGTTTTATTTGATTTTTTAATTCTTTCCTGTTTTCCGAAATTTCTGCAGTAAGTACATATTTTTAGAACTAGAAAAAATGTTTCTTTTTTGGGTTTCTTTTTGTAAAGAAAAACAATCTTTACTACAATAGGTTATGTGTTCTCTATCTACACAAAGGAAAGAGTGTATGGTTGCACCTTCACTTACCTGCTCCGCGCTCCGTACTGGGTTTCTGGGAGCTGAAATGCACATCTCAGGGGCATATGTATGTACACTAACTTATCTGTTGTAAAATCTCACCAGGCACGTGTGACTTCTGACATACTGTACAGTCCAAGTAGAGTATCACAAAACACATTACTAAAGTGTACTAAAATAAGGTTATTTACTTAAAAATGATACATTGGATGTAATCTATATATAGAATAAAGCAATTAATGGTAAACTTAATAAGGCACCTTTTAAACCAGATGCTGTACAAAATACATTTAGTGTGTTACATACCAAAGATGAATCTATACTTTTGGTGTTTTACAATTGCATAATAAAACTGCTTGGTTTTTAACCCTTCTTTCAATGTCTATGTACAACTTCCCTAATTAAACTATAATGGTATTTTCATTTTATACAATATATACTACATTTTAGTTTTTAAACGGGGAAGGACAACAGTCACTAAAAGGGCTTAAATAATTCCACTGAAAGCATAGTACAGAGCACAAGCTAAAATTACAATATATTTAATCCTTTGCAAAAGCAGTATTCACATACTCTCCTTATGGGATGATCATTACATGTGACTTCATTTGATGCTGCCCTAGATTTAATTTGGTTTTTACGAACATGTCAGCTGTCTGCAATTTTCACTGTAACACTTGTAACAGCACTGAGACAAGAAGATGAACTGCTACACTGCTATTTTAACATCTGACCCAAGCAAATAATAAATATTATCACTCTTACACACAGTACAAGAGCTGCAACAATCTTTTAAAAAAATAATCAATTAGTATTTCTGCTGTTGAAATTATTTTAGATATTAGAAACATTGCAAAGCAATATGTATGACAAGAAATGTAAGTTATTTAATTTATAAAATTTTCCCTGAAATAAACTATTCAATATCAAATTTGATCTTGGGCCAAGTTAGAGATGCATGATTCTTTAAAAATTGTATTGCATTTTTGTTTTAAACAGAAGCAAAAAATCTGGATAAAAGGTACTATTTTTTTGAGTGAATAATAAATCTGGCACATTTTAGGAAAACAATTTTCAAAAACTATAGGTCACTTTCTAAGTTTAGAAATATATCTGGACATTGAAAAGGCAACATGTTAATTGAAATAGCTTTTTCTACAGAAATTAGATTCAAATTATAGGCTTTAGAAGCTTGCTCAGAAAGAAAGCACAGGGCAAGCTTAGAGTAAAAGTGTTGAAGCCAATCTGAACATGCTTGTAATTCTAGAGATATTTACCAGGATAAAGAGAATTCATAAGAAGAATTTTCTTTGAAAGTTAGTTTTTGTTACATTCAGGTAGCTTTGGTTTTTTGTTTGTTTTTATGTTTTAATTATTTAAAGGGATGACAGACAGAAGCGACACGTTTTTAAGATGCGAAAATTGTTGAGACCAAATCATGGCTTGTAGGGTTTTACAAATTATTAGCTATGGTACTATATGATACTTCCTCTTCCTCTTTAAATATTTCACTTACTGTATGAACTGAGAAATTTAAGAGTAATAGTAAGAAGGAGAGGAGAAAATAAGTTTCATGCAAGTTTTTTCAGATGTTAGGATTTCAAATATGGCATCATTTGCTTTTTAAATAACATGTTATACTAGAAAATATTTTTATTTAACAAGTCTCTAACATTAATTCTTGATATTACAAAATCATTACAGTGGTCTTATACTTATATACTATCTGTAATGTTTTGCTTCCACTTATTACTTTGACATTCCTAAGAACAGAGCTTGCCTTTCCTTAGATATTTTTTTATTAAGATGACAAATGATTTAAGATTTATAGTTTATCAAATAAAAAAATAAATCAAGGTTAACCTTAGACTAAGTAAATCAAAGCTCATAAGTATTCTTAAATCACATGGCAACTTAGATAAAAATATCTATAAATCTCAGTATAGAGATAATCAAAACATTCTGAAAGAGCAAGTTATTGGGTACTAGCAACATGTAAATTTACTTGAACATTTCAAACTGGAATTATGTTAGATGAAAATTATTAAACTTAGTTAAAACTGTTAAAACAAGTTTCAAATTGGTGAAATTTGATGTACAGACAAATATGTAAGTTTCATCCTTACGTGCCAATCAAATTTTTGGTAATAAATGGACAGGCTCTGATTCCTCCCCTTTAAAGTGTTTTGATCATGTGATATGATATAATAATCTCATTTATGTTATATTCGAAGAAAATTGTTTCACTTTATGCACCCATGAGTTGTTTGTTCAGAATAAGATATTAATGTTTAAAAGGCATTACAGAAGTATGACAGGTTTAAATAAATCAGAAATATTCCTTGGGATAACAAGACATGCATAAAATATGTAGAACTTTCCTGAATAACAGCTATACAGTATAGATAGAGGTACTGACTAGATACTGAACTTTTGTGCCTGACTCTTGTCTTCACAAGTTATGGAACAGAAATCATAAAATAAAAAATCTCAAGTAATTTGAATGTCTAAAACAGTTGTTGATAAATTTGTATCAGCTCTGAAATAGAAATTTCTAATTAGAGGATCTGTTCCTAAAGGAAAATTGAGATGACAGTATCTTAATGAAAGTCTATGCCTTAAGTTAACAAAGTTCTAGGTTTGATATCCTGCTTTGAATGCATTAGTTCTGAAAATTCATATGTAGTTGTACTTTACAACATTTTCTTCTGACGATCCTTTTTTTCCCCTTAAGGATGGGATGTGAGGTACATGTGAGCTAGTTTCTACAGTATGAATGTATGTACATATATAAAATGATGTCAAAGGAGCAAGTGTTTTGCAAATAAAGCATATTACACACAAAATATAAATAACTTCCCTTTTAAAAGTTACTGAGAATAAAGAATACAGAACATGGTTATAGGCACTTAACATTGCTATCGAATGCAGTAATTAGTAATTAACTTCAATAAGAAGTGTTTTCTTTACAAGGTTCATGGCATAGGAAGTTCCAACTTTGGACAGAATGCTTTTCATGACAAAATAGTAATTACCAAAAGAAAAAAAAAAGATGGTGGTGGGAGGAAAACAGTCCAAATTTACGGGCACTTTAAACTTTTGGCTTTTAATATCAACTTTTATGCTATAAATAAAGTTGGTGGAGAAGCTAGCTCACCTGCAAGGTAAATGGCTTTACGTGATTGGCAAATCTTGGTCAGATCATGCATTTTTAAAGTACAAAACCAACAGCCACTAATATCTTTCTGTGCATTCATAAATTATTTTCTTCTAATTCAAATGGCAGCAGAGGAATCCTGGCGTGTTTGCGTGCACACACACACCATTACCAAGGTATGATAAACTATTATAAACTAAGCACTATTCCAAACAGATCATAATCCATAGGCTGTTTACAAATGTAGAATACAAATAGATTAAAATTTTTCAGGTAGAAGGCAAGTGTATGTTTCTCCATCTCTGCTGAATTCATTTATCTTCTTAAGGCTTTCACAGAAAGCACTATTTTATGAACAGGTAATTCAGTACCCAGAGTTTGACTGGAGGCTTATTTATCAGGATTGAAGTCTTGATGAAGTTCATAAAAACCCAATAAAAAAAAAAAGGCATCAAAAACCACATTTAAAATAAAGCTGTCCATATACAAAGAATGACGTGTTTAGAAGTTCCCAGCTTATGTTCTACAGAGTACTGAAAGGTTTAATATTAGCAGCCTGTGAAGGTGTAGTGAGGAAAGAGTCTGAGAACCAAGCTATCCTTATTCTACTCTAATTCCACCCATTCCTTGGGTGAAAACAGTTCTTGCAGTCTAGAATTTCTCCTCACGATTGCTTAATTGTCAAATCTTTACATCTTGGGATTCAACCATTTTGGCAAGTGTCTTCTTGATTCTCAGAGCTGTAAGTCTGGAGGCTGGATTGTGGGCCCAGCATTCTGACATTAGCTTCAAAACTGCTCGTAGACACTGAAAAGTAAAGACAATGTCGTGAGCAGGAGAATACCTTTGGCAACACTCACCAAACACTTCCTCGGGACTGAGTTCCACTTACTTCATCACTGTTCCATCGATTAGACACAATTGGCCGCAAACGTTTGACACACACAACCTCACGCATATCTTCATAGGATGGATCATTGGGCACCATGTTGTAATACGGCAACTGGTACTCTTCTACTATCCCTGTGGGGAGTAAGAAAACACAGTGGGCACAATAATGGTGGCCAGACAAAATATATCAGTCTATTCAGCTTACTGAACTAAGGAATTAAAACTGATTCTCACATAGAGAAGAAAAAAAATTATAGAATAGATGATTCACTTTTAATAGTAAATGTATGTTCTCCTTTTTATGTCTAATTATTTCCCCTACGTCCATCAGGATCCCCATCACAGCTGCGGACATACCAATATCCTTAAAAAACAACAACAAAAAAAACAAGGTGAAATGCTCACTCACTCTAAAATTTAATGTAATTATTTACATATGTACACAACTGTTCCTATTAATGGATGTAGTTTTTTTTTTTTTTTGTTTTGTTCTGTAGTAGAAAGACAACATGATATATAGAAAAGAGATAACACTGGGTTGTCGGAAAAGTCATGACACATTTTTGCAACGAAAAACATAGAAAAACACTTCATGACTTTTCTGACAACCCAACACCTTTCCTTAAAAGAGACTGCTATCCTTAAAAAGGCCTGCTTGCCAGGCTGGCCCTTGGCTGGTGTCTGGGAACTTGTCTGGTAAACAGTTTTCTACACTGATATAAACTTTTTCTAAGTGATACTATTGGCTCACTGTGCCTAGAATATTTGTGCAAACAGTATGGTTAATGTTGACACCAGCTTTCCTTCTGAGAGTTTGGGATTTTGGTGCACGCTAGGCAGAGGGGGCCCATGTGCCCAGCCTCAATAAAACTTTTGGGAACTGAGTCTCTAATAATACCCCTGGATGGCAGTGTTTCACACTTTGTCACAAGTTGGAGAAATGAAGTGCATCCTGTGTGACTCCACTGGGAGAGGATTTGAAAACTTGTGTCTAATTTCCTCTGAACTTTGCCTCACGTACATTTTCCCCTTGTTGATTTTGCTGTGTATCCTTTCGCTATCATAAATGTTAGCAGCGAGGACAACTATATGCTGAGTCCTGTGAGGCCTAGTGAAATCAGAGCCTGGAGTGGTCTCGGGGACCCCTGACATACATGACATCTAAAATTATGTAACAGGAGCTGTTAGCTTTTTTAATGATGTGGATACAAACAACCAGAAACACACTCCCTTAACTCCTACCTACCTCCTGTGATACAACGACGAGCCATTTCCCAAATGATTAGGCCAAAGCTATAGATGTCTGCCATTATGTAGGGCTGGAAATGGTTTTTATTCAGGCTTTCATCTAGCACTTCTGGAGCCATGTAGCGTTTTGTGCCAACCCTGGTATTCAAGGGTACATCAACTTCGTTTGTATCACTGAAACAGAAGACAGATAACATCCATGTTGATGGTCAAGAACAAAACAGTTTATCTTCCATTTTTGTTTATTTTGTAAAAGTCAAGTCTCAGCCTCTCTCTTTCTTTCTCTCTCTCTCTATATTATATATAATATATACTATATATATAAAATACATATATTACATATAATATATATTATATATTATATACACACACACACACAAATATCTACCTATCTATCTATCTAAAATCTCTACATTCCTTCATCAGAAATCATTGGGGACAAATGTATGTTAAAATTTAGTATCTTTCGCATTTAGAAAAGTAATGTGCGCTTTGAATATATGCCATATATTATTTACTATTCCCAGCAGGGCCTAGAGCAGTCATCTTAATCAAGAGGAATCATTTGCTTTCACGATTCTCATGTGATAATTACAAGATTACATTTTTCTTCTTTATGGGTCCAACCAACTTAGTTCTGTTATGGGTAATGTTTACATGATCATACTAACAATCAGTAATAAATGATGTTTATTATTTTTTCAATTTTTGGAGTAAATTTTAGAGTTTAAAGACGTGAATGCTTTGTTGCATAAGCCCCTGGTTCTGGCAGGTTCTGGAAACTACTCTGAAGCACAGATTAATATATTTAATATTTTCTTGTATGGCATCTGATGAGTATTTAAGCTAATAAACACTACATTGATTTTTAAAAAAGAAACAGGATTAGAACACCAGGGGAAAGATTTAATTTTTTAAATGCTTATTTTATTAAGGCCTAGCACTTTTATCTTATGGCCTGAAATTAATTCTGAAATGTGAAATGGCTGCTGTATTCTAGAGTTATAACAACATTAAACCGGTTTCAATAGTTCCCTCAAAATGTTATAAATGTTTAAAAATATTAACAACATATTAAATGGTGATGGAGAAATGACGTATTTATACCATTTATGGGAGTGTAAATTGATGCATGCTCTCAAGAGGTAACTTGTAATATACCTTAATTTAATACGCACATAGGCTGTCTAGCCCCCTCTCTAGGAATCCACCATGAAGAAATACTTGTGTAAGTGCTCAAGGATATAATATATATGGATAAAATACAGTGTTTATTAAAACATTTTTTAAATTATAGAGATAAGCCAGAGGCAACTTTAATAGCTATCAGTCATGGAATAAATCACAGTACATCTATATTTTGAAAAACTGCATCAACACTTAAAAAGAATGAAGTAGATCTACATAAAATGAAATAGAAGGATGTTTAAGACAATTAAAAAGGGAAATCAAGAATTAGGTAGAGTAGAATGGAATTTTTGTAAACAAAACCCACCAAAACAAACCAACCAAGACAAAAACCCCAGTTATATATTTACGTAACTATATAAGCTCAAACTCATGCTTGGAACTCCACTGTCCAGAAAACAAATACTCCAATATCTTGAGGAGACTAACATAATTTCAGAACTGCCAGCAAAGAACCACATTCACCTGTTGAATTTAACAGCAAGACCCAGGTCAGCAATGCAACAACTTCCATTTTTCTTGATGAGGATGTTTTTGCTCTTTAGGTCTCGGTGAGCAATTGCAGGCTTTCCTTGGGTGCCATAAATTTCCGTGTGGAGATGGCACAGACCACAGGCAGCTGAATAGGCCAACTTGAGGAGGGCTCTGGTGTCTAGTGTAGCACATTTCAGGAAATCATAAAGCGATCCATTTTCATGGTAATCAGTAATTAGATAGAGCTGAGTCCAGGAACCTGTACCCTTAATGTCTGCTGCTATAAAACCTGTTCAATTAATGAGTTTAAAAGGTTAGTTATCAGAGGTGGCTATGAAGAATAATGAATGCTCATCAAAAATACTGAGAATAAGTCAGGTATCATATACAGACAATAAACATTAAATTTGCTTAATAAAGCTTCTTGAACATGTTCCCCAGGTTTACACATATAACTCTATACTCTGCAATAAACTTAAAATAATATTAATGATCATCATGAAAATGATAATAATGGGACCAAGAAGATCACATACCATATAACCTGGGGGAATGTTACCATCTACATGGTTCTCTGAGCATGAAGAACTATAAAGAAGGAATGTGGAAAAGGCTCTCAATTTCAAATTGAAAAGTGGACATATTAAAATAACAAAGTTAAAAATGTTCAACTAAGAGTTTCTGCTTAACTAAGCCAATTCCATTTGCCCATCAATGCATCCTCACATCTACCTTTGGTCTGGCTCGTTGACAAGCAGTTCGATGATACTGAGCCCCTTTCCTTCTCCTCCTCCCCTTTAGAAAAAGGTCAGTAAAGTGCTGGGTTGAATAGTGTCGTAGTGTCGTCCCCCCACACCCCCAATTCACACCCACCTGGTACCTGTAAATACGATCATATTTGGAAACAGGGTCTTTGTAGATGTAATCAAATTCAGATGAGGTCACACTAGATTAGGGTGGGTGTTGTAATTCAGTGACTGGTGTCCTTTTAAGAGGGAAATTTGGACACAGACACACAGGGGAGGCCATGTGATGACAGAGACAGAAGCGATAAGAATGTTGTTTCCAAGCCAGCAAACACCAAAGGTTGCTGGCCATCACCAGAAGCCAGGAAGAGGCAAGGAAGGGTCCTCTCCTGGAGCCTCCAGAGGGCAGGGCCCTGCGGACACCTTGATTTTAACCTTCAGGCCTCCAGAACTCAGAGAGAATACGTTTCTGCTGTTTTATGGCACCCAGTTTGTGGTAGTTTGTTATGATATAGCCTTAGGACGCTAATCCAGGTGCCTATACACTCTTGGCAATGTGCTATGCATTGTCTAAAGAAGAGGGAAATTGTAGCTAAACAGAAAAGTCAGGAAAGCTAGATAAGTTTCTGCACCCTACTGCTCAGATCATACCTGAATTATTTTGCTGTTGTGTCAGTGGGGTGGGGTGGGGAGGGAGAGACCTGCTAAGCATAGACACTAAGCTATGTCATATGGTGGTAGTTGCTTAGCTTACAAAAAGCAAAAGGTATTATAGTTAAAGTTACCCCAGGAAATTGCTTAAATTACCTATAAAAGACTTGGTTTTTGTTACTGTATGAGTAAGTCCAATGAACTGGCATTACTTCCAATTTGAAATTCACTCTTCTTTCCTGGCTGGCTGGCATTCAGGGCTGGATTGTACCTAAGCTGTGTATTCAGCTGGGTTTCCTTTAACCCAGTTCGCATAACGGAATTCACATGCTTTCAGAGCTCAGGTGGCAGGCTTCCACCTGCACCCCCCAATCTTGTCAGAATACGGAATTGACTGAAATCAGATGTATACCCACCAAGTATATTTTCATGGCGCATTAGCACAGTTTGATAGATTTCTGTTTCTCGAAACCAGCTAGCTTCTTCAGTGGTAAAAAACACTTTGACTGCCACTTTTTCACCACGCCATTTACCCATCCACACTTCTCCATATCGGCCTTTACCAACTTGCCGAACCATCTGAATCTGTTTGGCAATAGTTCGCTGAACCTTCAAAAAGAAAAAAAAGAAAAAATGTTTTGAGTTCTTGATGAAATGAAGAGCATAGTGATTCTAAATTAAAGAGAACACGAAGGTCCAGACTGGAATGCACATTAAAATGGGCTAGATTTTGTGCACACCTAAATTAACTTCCTTTATGTATCATTTTATTACACAAACCTATCATAATTTTTTTCAAAGTCTAGATTGTTGAGGCATAATTTACATACAATAAAATTCACTGTTTTTGAGAAGTGTTTTGATAAATGTATACAGTCATGTGACCCCCAATACCACAATTAAGATACAGAGCACATCCATCACCAAAAAAAGTTCCCTCTTACCTCTTTAAAGTCAATCCCTTCCTCACCCATTCTCAGTCCCTGGCATCATTGATCTGTTTTCTGTCCCTACAGTTTTGCCTTTGTAGAATATCACACAAATGGAAACATACAATATATAGCCTTTTGTGTCTCTGTTTTTTCACTTAGCATAAAATGATCTCAAATTCACCTATGTTGTTGCACGTATCCGTAGTTTGTTTCTTTTTATTGATGAGTCAGATTCCACTCTATGAATGTACCACCAACTGTTTATCCAACTACCAACTGATGAACTTTTGGGTTGTTTACAAATTATATCTATTATGAATAAAGCTGCTATAAACATTCACATTCAGATCTTTGTCTAGACATGTCTGCACAGCTCTTTGCTAGACACTTAGCAGGAGGGACAGCTTCACTGTGCGTGCTTAAGTTTACAGTCAACTGTCAAACGATTTTCCAAAGTGGCTGTACCATTGTGCATTTCAATCAGCAATGTATGATTTCCAGCTGATAGCCTCAGTTTTAGCCATGCTAGGGGATGCGTAGTAGCACCACTGTGACAGTTTGCATGTCCTCATGATGCTGAGTATCTTTTCATATGCTTATTTGTCATTCTTATATCTTCTCTGGGAAAGTGTCTATTCAAGTTTTTTATCTATTAAAAAATTGAAATTGTTTCTTATTACCAAGGTGTAAAAGTTCTGTATATATTCTGCAACACAAATTCTTTATCAGATCTCCTTCGCCAATTGGTGACTTGTTTTTTTTTCATTTTCTTAACAGTGTCTTCGGAAGAGATAGTCTCAAATTTTGAGAAAGCCCAATTTATCATTTTAAAAAATGACTCATGCCTTTTGTGCTAAGAAATCTTTGCTCAACCCAAGGTCATAATGATTTGTTCTAAAACATTTTCTTTTAAAAGTTGTATGCTTTAACTTTTACATTTAGATCTATGCTCCATTTCAAGGTAATGTTGTATATCAGTGAGGTAAGGGTTGAGATTCACTTTTTGGCAAATGGATGCCCAGTTTTTCCTGCACTATTTGTTGAACAGACTGTCTTTTCCCCATTGAATTATTCTAGCACCCGAATCAATTGATCATATATACTTGCATATGTGCCCATTTCTAGACTCTCTGTTCTGTTCCTCCACTGATGCCAGCTCCACAGTGTTAATTACTGTAACTCTACACTAAGTCCAGAAAACAGGTAGAGGGATCCTCTTTGTTTTCTTCTTCAAAATTATTTTGTATCTTCTAGGTTCTTTCATTTCCATACACGTTAGAATCAGCTCATCAATTTCTACAAAAGTTTGCTCTGATTTTGATTTACATTAAATGGAAACTATAATTTTAGGAAAACTGAAATCTTAATCCTGAGCCCTCTGATTCACAAACAGGATATAGGTCTCCACTTATTCAAGGCTGTGTTAATTTTTTTGGGCAACGTTTTCTAATTTTCAGTGTACAGGTCTTATAGAAATTTTGCTAAGTTTATTCCAAAATATTGAATGTTTTTTGTTGCTAACCCAATTGATACAGCTTTAAAATATTTAATTCCTAATTGTTTTTTTGCCAGTTTACAGAAATTCAATGGTTTTGTACAATGACATTATATTCTGCAACCCTGATAAGATCATTTCATTTATTGGTTGTCATAGCTTTATGGTATCATTCTTGAGATTTTTTACATAGACAATCATGTTGCCTGCAGATAAAGTCAGTTTTACTTTACCTTTCCAATTCAATTATAGAATTATTTAATTCAATTAAATTTTAAATTAGAGATAAACGTCTTTAAACAAATGCAATTAAACAAAAACTTATCTGAATATCTAATATTTATTATAAGGGTCCTCTCGACCCCTAAATCTGAGTATTTCCTTACATATAACCCTCTTAGAATTATTAATAACTCTCTTTAAAATTATTTTTATGAACTGTGCTTGGTAATATGGTATTATATATAGGGAAGTATCCTCTGTATGAAGATATGTGAGAGAAACTTCCTTTTGATTTCAGAATCTGAAAGTTATACTTCTCACAATTATCAGTTTAACCTTACGGATGTAATGAATCATATACCTAATTCCTCTTTTGAAGTTGGCTGCTGAAAGCAAAGCTTGTGAGCTAACTCACTTCATGACCATACCTTCTTTCCTAACCTTGCTTGTGGCTCTATCTTACTTGCCTCTTCTATTTTTCTTGTTTCATATTTCTAAATTTAACTAATTTCATCTTGTATTACTGCAGCCATGTTTCTAAGAAGGAAAAAATATGTGTAACACAGTTTGCTAATCTTCAGTGATTATCCTACCTTTCATATGAGGACACATTCTATATCAACAAACCACTCATGTTTACACATAGTTTATCTTACCAATAAAGGTAGTCCAGATCCACTACCAGAACTTTGTGACTGGTCAATAAGGTCTTTTAAGGATTCTCCAACAGGAATAAATGCTTCATCCTGTTCCAAATCACGATTGTAACGACGTCTGCTTGAGATGCTCTTGCAATAATGTCTTTTAAAAAAAGCAGAAAACAGTCTACATTGAAATCCTAAAACTATAAAAATCAAAGTAAGAAAATCTTGAGGTTGTCAACACCATTATCTTTCCTTCAGACATGATCATATCAAAATTAGTCTTATCATAGGATCATGTTAAAATAATGTCCAGAAATGGAGTTTATGAGGTAGAGTTCTATGTACCATGTTACAATGAACAGATGTCCATGGTGTATTCACAAGTGAAAAAAATAGATTAAAAAACAGCATGTAAAGTGTTATCCTAGCTATGAAAAAATTTTAAATTATATATATTTATATATGTCTAAAAAGACCAGAAAGGACATACAGCAAGTTGTAAACAAGTTATTTCTGGGGATATAGGAATATACACTTTCTACTTTACACAAGTATTTTCATTAGAATTTATAAGTATGTACTTTATATCAAAATGAACAGTAAATAGGGAAAAGAAATTTATGGAAAAAAAAATCAAACAAGTTCTCGTAATTCATTCTGATATTTTTTAAGGTTTCTCTTTAAAATTTCAAATTATGAAAGATTCAAATATATAGGAAGGTAGAGATTAATTTAACTGGCACCCATGTGTACATCATTTAATAAATACTAACATTATGCTATGTTTATTTTAGATATATTTAAAGTAAACATTATAAATATTTGAAGCTCTAGCCATTTCCCTGATAATTCTATTTCCCTCCTTTACTCTTAAAAAACAAACACCATCCTGAAAGTGATTATATCCTTCCAATGTATGTATTTATACTTTTACCATAACGTATATATTTATAAATAACATTGTTTCTCTGGATACAAATGTACATAAATTGCATGTTGTATTAATATTTTATACCTTGGTTTTTAATTAAAAAAACAACTCCTTATGTTTTACATATTTATCCATGTGATACATGTAAAACACAACAGCTCATTTTTGTTGATGTTGTGTATCAGGCACTGTTCTACGACTCACACTTCATCTTTACAAAACTCCCAAGAGGTAAGTACTATTGTTCCCATTTTACAAATAAGGTTCATCATTTGCCCCGAGTCACACAGATGGCCAGGTAGAGAAGTTGGGATCCAAACCCAGAGGCCTGGATCAGGAAACCATGGACTTAGTCCCTACTATTCCGTCAAGGAAATGGTTTAAATGGTAGCTAGTGTTCCTGTTATGAATTTGCCACAACTTACCCTGGTGCTGTCTTTAGTTATTTCCAAAAGTTTGTTAATATAAACAGGACCGCAAAAAAACATTTTTGTGCCTGTCCCTTGGGCAGATGTGTAAGAATTTCTTGAAGGTATGTACACTTTCAATTTGACATCCACCAAATTGCTCTTCAAAGTGGAATAACTTATACTTCCACCAAAAGTGTAATGTGACAATGTCCATTTCCCCACCTTCCAATCCAAACTGGAGGCTTCCATATTTTTTTTATTTTTGCCAAGCTGATGGGTATGAAATAGTGACTTGTTTTCATTTGTTATCCCCTGATTACCAGGGAGGTTGAGATTTTGTTTTTCACAGTTCAGTTTTCTCTGTGAACTGTCTATTCATATTTTTTTGTATATTATTTAATTGGGGCAATTTATCTTTTTTTATTGATTCATAGGAGTTCTTTATGTAACCTGGATACTAAATCTTGGATAACTATATGTTACAAGAGTCTCCTCTCAGTTGTCATTGTCATGTCATTCCATTTATGGTGTTTCATGTCAGTTTCTAATTTTAATGTTGTCAAATAAAATTCAAATTCATCAGCCATTTCCTCCTTTTTCATGTATGCTTTCATATCCCGTTTAAGACAACCTTCCCAAACCTAATGTCATAAATACATTTTCAAGGTTTAAAAATTATGTTTCTCTCCATTTGGAACTTACAATATAGAATGGAAATTAGGGAATAAGTCAAATTAATTTTCCATATGGATAGTCCAATATATATAGCCATGTTTGTAATTTTATTTTTGTTAATATGGGTAACTCACTTTAATGGTTTAAAATTCAAAAGGCACAAAAGGGTGTACAGTGAGAAATCTTCCTCTCACCTCTATCCCCAAGCCATCAACTTCATTTTCCTAGAAGGAACCTAAAACTGGAACTATTTCCAGCTTCTTGGGTAATCTTATGGAGGCCATTTATGCATATTCAAACAAACACATATTCATTGGTGTCCATCTCCCTTTTTTTTCTTCCAGAAATGGTAATGCACCATACATACTGTTCTGTGTCTTGCCTTTTAACTTAGCATTTTGTCTGGGGGATCATTCTACAGCAGTGCATAAATAGCTTCCATTTTCTTTAATGGTTAAACAGTTTGCCATTGTATGGCTGTTAACCATTCCCTTACTGGTAACATTTAGATTGTTTCTAGTCTTCACACAAGGCTGAAATGAGAAAAAGTTCTGGCAAATCTGCAGTCCAAGTTAGAACTGAATTTGGAATTTTGATGGAATGCCCTATTCACCTTCTTGGAGGTTATGCCAGTTACTGTCTCTCCATCATTATACGAGTGTCCATTTCCCCCCACATTCTCATCCACACTCTACTAACACTTTTAGAACTTTGTTTTTAATTTTATCAAAGTTCTATATCTGTTTTTAAGAATTATATATAGCAAGTCCTCAAACAATGTTGTTTCATTATAATGTTGAAGAGATGCCACAGGAACTTAACTCTTGTTTATATTAATTAGCCTATGGTAAAACTGATTTTATCATACTTCATTTCACTTAAAGTCAAAGAACTATCAACTACATTAAGTGAGGACTTACTGTAGTTCTTTGTGGCTTAGTAACAAAGCAGTAGTTCCCATCTCATCTCCTCTCCTCTTAGCACCCATTCTGCACTTCTCAGAACCAAACATTTTCAATGTTTCTAAGCGGATTTGTTTAATGTTTACCTCACTGTTACTAAATAACACGCTTATATTGACATTTTCAGGTTTTTAGTCAGTCTTTAACTATTCACTTAACACTGTGGAAGATGAGGATTTAACTTGGCATTTAATATTCCTTCCCCTTTCCCAAACAGAAATACTTCTCACATCCTCCCAACACAGTTATAGCACAGTTTAGATCAATATTCAATGTTTGCATTACGATGGCTAGATAAACTCTAGCTACACGTGGATCTTACTGTATACGATTATTTTTGCTTTCTCGAAAACCCTGAGATATATTTTTTAAAATCTCAGTCTCTGTAATTCTAAACATGACGTACAGCATTCAATCCAAAATTATGAGACACACTTTTAAAAAGCAAGGAAACACAGCCCAGAGCCAAGAGGTAGGGCAACCAACAGAAGCAGTCTCAGAGACAGATGACTGATGTTGACACTTCTAAACAGCCTCCTTAAAGTAACCAGGATTAAAATGGTAAAGCATCTAAAGGAAAAGGTGGACAACATGAACCAAAAGATAGAAAATTTCAGCAGAGAAATGGACAGAGTCAAATAGAAATGCTAAAAGTGTAAAACATATCAGAGATGAAGAATTCCTTTGCTAGGCTCATCAATGGACTGGACACAGTTGAGGAAAATTAAAAAACTAGCTTGAAAATAGATGAACAGAAGTTACCTGAACTAAAAAACAAAGAGGAAAAATTCAATAAAAAATAAAAGAGCTGTGGGACAGTATTAAATAATCTAAAAATGTATAGTCTCAAAAGGAGAACAGAAAGAGAAAGGAACAGAAACTATCTGAAAACATAGTAGACAATAACTTTGCAAAAATAATGACAGACATCAAGCCATAGAGTCAGTAAGCTCAGTAAATCTCAAATGAGAGTAAATACCAAAAAAGAAACATGCACATCTTAAATACATTGTAGTCAAATAGTTCAAAACTGAAGATAAAGGGAAAATCTTAAAAGAGGCTATGAAAAAAATAATTACATACAGTGGACCAAACATAAGAATTATGAAAGAAATCATGTAAGCTGGAAAACAATTCTATATACAGTGCAAATACCTTTGGAAAATGAAGGCAAAAGGTTTTTCAGACAAACAGAAGCTGAGAGGAGTTATGGCCAGTAAACCTACATGCAAGAAATTAAGTAAAGGAAGTTCTTCAGACAGAAGGAATATACCAAATGAAAACTTGTATCTAAAACTTGAAGCTAAACAAATAAAGGGAGAGTGCTGAAAATGATAAAAATAAACATGAATATAAAAACTTTTTTCTTATTTTTAATCACTTTAAAGCTGATTGACAGTTCCCTTTTTAGGTATACAATAAATACTTATCTTTTTTATTAAATGAAACATTACATGGCAATAATTTTTGCTGCAATTACTTTCAAAATCATTATTTCTAATATTGAACTGCTGTGGTACTGAGATGTCCCTTAAAGGCAGTGAGGATGATGGGCCAATTGTAAAGCTGGAGGAGAGCTTTATATCTGATAAATTAATCTGGGTTACTGCTTAAAAGCAGGCATTCTGAGTCAAGGGGAGGTGTGCGCCAAGCACGGGGGACACACTGATTTACCATGTTCATCCTTAATGCTTCAAAGGAACCATGGTAATGTATCAGCCAGCCATCATCAACATCGATGGACAAGTAATCTCTGCTATCACTGAGGTCCCTATCCAATGGGAAAGGCAGACTTTGGGCAACTGATTATGAGTAAGTAAACAAATAACTGCAAATGGAAAAGTGTTAGGTAAAAGTACAAAATGTTTTAGGGGTAGAACATGGTATCTAACCATTTTTTAAGGGTCCAAGAAATCACTTACAAAAAAGGACAAATTCTATGTCCAAGGAAAGTACAAAACCTGGCAGAATGGAACAGAATTGACAGCAAATCTAGAATAAAGGGAGGCTAGAGAGGAGATTTTAGAGAAGGTATTGATTTTGAGGACCATGTCATCATGAATGTAAATCAGATTCAAAAAGAATAAATTCGCAAATTTTTCTACATTAGAAAAAAAGTCATCAGAAAAGAAGTGAAACAAAATATTAATGAGATACATAAAAGAGACTAATCTCAGTA